TATGGGGTCCACTACAGCTCACCTGATGGGTATGGGGTCCACTACCGCTCACCTGATGGGTGTGGGGTCCACTACCGCTCACCTGATGGGTGTGGGGTCCACTACCGCTCACCTGATGGGTGTGGGGTCCACTACCGCTCACCTGATGGGTATGGGGTCCACTACCGCTCACCTGATGGGTATGGGGTCCACTACCGCTCACCTGATGGGTATGGGGTCCACTACCGCTCACCTGATGGGTATGGGGTCCACTACCGCTCACCTGATGGGTATGGGGTCCACTACCGCTCACCTGATGGGTATGGGGTCCACTACCGCTCACCTGATGGGTATGGGGTCCACTACCGCTCACCTGATGGGTATAGGGTCCAATACCGCTCACCTGATGGGTATAGGGTCCACTACCGCTCACCTGATGGGTATGGGGTCCAATACCGCTCACCTGATGGGTATAGGGTCCACTACCGCTCACCTGATGGGTATGGGGTCCAATACCGCTCACCTGATGGGTATGGGGTCCACTACCGCTCACCTGATGGGTATGGGGTCCAATACCGCTCACCTGATGGGTATAGGGTCCACTACCGCTCACAGCATGCGTATGGGGTCCACTACCGCTCACAGCATGCGTATGGGGTCCACTACCGCTCACAGCATGCGTATGGGGGCTGCATAATAATATATAAACGAAACTAAACTGATTTAAATTTTATTTCTTACTGTTATATAATAACTATTACTCTATATTGAAAACGCGCTTATAAAGTATAGGACGTTTCGCTAAAAACAATTCAGCTTGATAATTCGTTCCGAGTATTTAAAAGACAATAAAACTGAAAACACATCGATGGTAAGACCACGTTTACTTGGCGGTGGGCATCGCACAGGCGTATAGAACAGCACTAAAACGATCATGTTGGGTCGACGTTCGATCCCCGATGGTCAAAGTGGTCTACTGTATCGTTCCTTCACCCTTTCCTCATATCTCAGGTCCACACACACATATCCCTTTCGAGTATTATATAGTCAAACTGGCTGATTAGATCGTGATCATTTCCTATGTATTCTCCCACATAAGAATTAATATTCTATACAACAGTAACGTTTGAGAAATAGAGGAAGCGATGTTTGTCAACTGTTCGGTGAACTGGTCGTCTACGGCTCAGGTGTTATAGTGTGTGTAGATTGGGTACGAATCTATCAAAATATTTTCCAGAGGTTGACTCCAGAGACAGCGATCAATTATACAGTTCGGTTGTAGCTGGAAGAAGCGGCCAACTTTAAGGGCAAACCCCTAACTGCTGGAGGTTAGCGACCCACTATAGAGGTCGACCTTAACTGGAGGCAACGAACCACACTATAGAAGTCGACCCAAGCTGGAGGCACCGAACCACAATCGAAGTCGACCCAAGCTGGAGGCAACGCACCAATATAGTGGTCGACCCAAGCTGGAGACAACGCACCAATATAGTGGTCGACCCAAGCTGGAGGCAACGCACCAATATAGTGGTCGACCCAAGCTGGAGGCAACGCACCAATATAGTGGTCGACCCAAGCTGGAGGCAACGCACCAATATAGTGGTCGACCCAAGCTGGAGGCAACGCACCAATACAGTGGTCGACCCAAGCTGGAGGCAACGCACCAATACAGTGGTCGACCCAAACTGGAGGCAACGCACCAATACGGTGGTCGACCCAAACTGGAGGCAACGCACCAATACAGTGGTCGACCCAAACTGGAGGCAACGCACCAATACAGTGGTCGACCCAAGTTGGAGGCAACGCACCAATACAGTGGTCGACCCAAGCTGGAGGCAACGCCCCAATACAGTGGTCGACCCAAGTTGGAGGCAACGCACCAATACAGTGGTCGACCCAAGTTGGAGGCAACGCACCAATACAGTGGTCGACCCAAGCTGGAGGCAGCAACACCAGAGGCATAATCGTCCCCACTATAAAATATTCAGCTTTACGGCTTAGTGTCGGAGGGACGAAATCAACGCAATGTATCAATATATATACGAACTTGGGGTGAAAAAAAAGGACGTGAGGAAGAAGAGGGACTTGGGGGGGGGGGTGGAGGAGGAGGAAGAGAGGAAGGGGGATACAGGATGGGAGGAGAGAAGATATGTAGGATAATAAATAAATAAATGGCAGGAAGGAATAACAATGAGGTGAGAGAAAGGAGGCGAAGGAGATAGGGGTAGGAGAGAGGGAAGGATGGATGGAGGGAGAAGAGGGAGGGAGAGAGAAGAGGGAGGGACGGAGGTAGTGAGGTGAGAAAAGGAAGAAAGAGGAACGTAGCAACAAGATATCAGAGCAACACAGGAAGAGGAAAGCAGGATTAAAGAGGACGTACAGTTATGTCCACGAGACAGGGCAGACTAAACCAAAACAGTGTAATGACGCTCTCGCCGCGCTGAAATGGTTCATCACACTTCCCCCGACCTCGAGTACAAGAATGTTTCTCTCAGCGCCAGTGCTTCCCCTGAGAGCCTTAAATGTGACACGAAGTCTGCTCACGTACAGAATCGGCGCTAGGACTGAGAGAGAGAGAGAGAGAGAGATTAATAGTGTTGCGTCGTGTCAGGCAACGTTCCCAAACTCCCAAATTTGCTCCACAACTTTCAGAATGTGTTCCATGTCTCTGGTTCTCTCACAACAAGCACCACCATTGGTATAAGCCGTCCATTCCTTCATATCGTGTCGCTGAATGTAACAGTGCTGTAATCTGGCCACAAGTGCCTGTACCAGCTGACTGCAGATGACACCGGACTTCCACACGCGCCGACTGTATCAGTATTTTGAATTTAATAAATCAAAGACAAATTTATGATTAATGTATAAAGTGTTACTAGCTGTCATTATTTGTTGTTGTTAAAGATTCGCTACCCGGAACAAAGTTCCAAGTAGCACGGACTATGATGAGCCCGTAGCTGTCATTATTATTATCAGGTGTTCAGATAAGGTGAAGCTATAAATGTAAAGATGCAGGCTGAGGGCTGATTAAAATCTTGAGTGTTATTTGTAATCTTTTTTGCGTTACTGCTCACAGAAGGAGTATGGAGTGCACAACAAACTACCGCTCACAGAAGGAGTATGTAGTGCACAACGAACTATCTGCCTCCGGTGGCAACAATCAAACCAATTAACCACTGCACAATATCAGTCTGGAACTCAATTAAATCACTCTCACAACCTTCCTCTAGTGCTTTCCTCTCATCACTCTCTCTCAGCGCCACATCTCCCAGCTCTCTGGTCCCAACAGCGTCTCTCAGCACCGCCCTCTAAAAGTTATCAGTTCCCCTGAAACATCATTACTAGTTTTTTTTTTTACCTTTCGAATGAAAATGTCTTTGTCCAAACGCTAGCGACCTCAATTTAACGAGACCCGCACACCATGTTAAGGAGAAAGGCTAGTACTGGGCTGAAGGGTGGAGGGCTAAGACTGGGCGGAGGGCTGAGACTGGGTGGAGGGCTGAGACTGGGTGGAGGGCTGAGACTGGGTGGAGGGCTGAGACTGGGCGGAGGGCTGAGACTGGGTGGAGGGCTGAGACTGGGTGGGGGGCTGAGACTGGGTGGAGGGCTGAGACTGGGTGGAGGGCTGAGACTGGGTGGAGGGCTGAGACTGGGTGGGGGGCTGAGACTGGGTGGAGGGCTGAGACTGGGTGGAGGGCTGAGACTGAGACTGGGTGGAGGGCTGAGACTGGGTGGAGGGCTGAGACTGGGTGGAGGGCTGAGACTGGGTGGAGGGCTGAGACTGGGTGGAGGGCTGAGACTGAGTGGAGGGCTGAGACTGGGTGGAGTGCTGAGACTGGGTGGAGGGCTGAGACTGAGTGGAGGGCTAAGGCTGGGTGGAGGGCTGAGACTGGGTGGAGGGCTGAGACTGAGTGGAGGGCTGAGACTGGGTGGAGTGCTGAGACTGGGTGGAGGGCTGAGACTGTGTGGAGGGCTGAGGCTGGGTGGAGGGCTGAGACTGGGTGGAGGGCTGAGACTGGGTGGAGGGCTGAGACTGGGTGGAGGGCTGAGACTAGGGGGGAGGGCTGAGACTGGGTGGAGGGCTGAGACTAGGGGGGAGGGCTGAGGCTGGGTGGAGGGCTGAGACTAGGTGGAGGGCTGAGACTGGGTGGAGGGCTGAGACTGGGTGGAGGGCTGAGACTGGGTGGAGGGCTGAGACTGAGTGGAGGGCTGAGACTGGGTGGAGTGCTGAGACTGGGTGGAGGGCTGAGGCTGGGTGGAGGGCTGAGACTGGGTGGAGGGCTGAGACTGAGTGGAGGGCTGAGACTGGGTGGAGTGCTGAGACTGGGTGGAGGGCTGAGACTGAGTGGAGGGCTGAGGCTGGGTGGAGGGCTGAGACTGGGTGGAGGGCTGAGACTGGGTGGAGGGCTGAGACTAGGGGGGAGGGCTGAGACTGGGTGGAGGGCTGAGACTAGGGGGGAGGGCTGAGGCTGGGTGGAGGGCTGAGACTAGGTGGAGGGCTGAGACTGGGTGGAGGGCTGAGACTGGGTGGAGGGCTGAGACTGGGTGGAGGGCTGAGACTGAGTGGAGGGCTGAGACTGGGTGGAGTGCTGAGACTGGGTGGAGGGCTGAGACTGAGTGGAGGGCTGAGACTGGGTGGAGTGCTGAGACTGGGTGGAGGGCTGAGACTGAGTGGAGGGCTGAGGCTGGGTGGAGTGCTGAGACTGGGTGGAGGGCTGAGACTGAGTGGAGGGCTGAGACTGAGTGGAGGACTGAGACTGGGTGGAGGGCTGAGACTGAGTGGAGGACTGAGACTGGGTGGAGGGCTGAGACTGAGTGGAGGACTGAGACTGGGTGGAGGGCTGAGACTGAGTGGAGGACTGAGACTGGGTGGAGTGCTGAGACTGAGTGGAGGACTGAGACTGGGTGGAGGGCTGAGACTGAGTGGAGGACTGAGACTGGGTGGAGGGCTGAGACTGAGTGGAGGACTGAGACTGGGTGGAGGGCTGAGACTGGGTGGAGGGCTGAGACTGGGTGGAGGGCTGTGTGAGGATGAGGGATATAATCCCCTGTGTAACTGTTACTCTTTAAACAAACCTCACCTAACTTAGCCTCACCAATCCTAACCCAACCTAACCTAACCCAGCCTAACCTTACCTAACTAAACCTATCCTAACCTCACCCAACCTCACCCAACCTTATCTAACCTAACCTAACCCAACCTAACCTAACCCAGCCTAACCTTACCTAACTAAACCTATCCTAACCTCACCCAACCTCACCCAACCTTATCTAACCTAACCTAACCCAACCTAACCCAGCCTAACCTTACCTAACTAAACCTATCCTAACCTCACCCAACCTCACCCAACCTTATCTAACCTAACCTAACCCAACCTAACCTAACCCAGCCTAACCTTACCTAACTAAACCTATCCTAACCTCACCCAACCTCACCCAACCTTATCTAACCTAACCTAACCCAGCCTAACCTTACCTAACCTAACCTAACCCAACCTAACCTAACCCAGCCTAACCTTACCTAACTAAACCTATCCTAACCTAACCTAACCCAGCCTAACCTTACCTAACCTAACCTAACCCAACCTAACCTAACCCAGCCTAACCTTACCTAACTAAACCTATCCTAACCTCACCCAACCTCACCCAACCTTATCTAACCTAACCCAACCTATCCAAACTTAACGATAATAAGAGACAAGATATTGTGTTTTATTTATTGTCCCCCAGGGTGTGTGACGTCACTATGACGCCACAATGTCGCTACAGGTTTTGATTGATTGATTGATGAATATTAAGCCACCCAAAAGGTGGCACGGGCATGAATAGCCCGTAAGTGGTGGCCCTTTTGAGCCGTTACCAGTATCAAGAGCTGATACTGGAGATCTGTGGAGTAGGTTTTGGACCCTAATAGTTCAGTGTTATATCAACATTCTTTGCCCAGATTTTCCCCTCGGAGGGAGGGAGAGGGGGGGGAGAAACAAAAAGAATTTATAAGAGGAAAGCGCCAATCCATTACGACTATATAGCACTTGGAAGGGATCACGATAAGGATTTGGGATGGGACAGAGGGGGAAGGAATGGTGTCCAATCACTTGAACAGTCGGGGATTGAACGCCGACCTGCATGAAGGGAGACCGTCGCTCTACCGTCCAGCCCAAGTGGTTGAAGAGAGGGGAGGGGGCAAGAGTTAATCGTGTTAGCTCTCAGTTATAAAGTTATTACGAGGGTAGAAATAGCCTAAACTACTCCAACCTTTTGAGATGCATTTTATTATCTCATAAAATTACTTGTTGTTGTTGTTGTTGTTGTTCAAGATTCGCTACTTGGAGCAAATAGTTCCAAGTAGCACGGGCTATCGTGAGCCCGAATAAAAATTACTTGAACTTGAACTTGATCAAAGTTAGTGTCCTCTAGGACCCTACACACACACCCTGTGCTACACAGCCACACTTACTTAGCGATTTCTCATAATTCCTTTACCTTGAAACTTACAATACTCTCTCTATGATAATTATTAACATTATTTATCCTAACACCGGTGGTTAACTTAGTTTATGTTAGTTATCATTTAAATTCTATTCGCAGCGTTCTAATTTTATGCTGTGTGTGTTTTGTTAACATAAATCTCACGGCTCTAGTTGTAAGCAATAAGAATTATAGGGATAGTCACTCCCGCTACAATTGTAATGATTTGTATAAGTTATTTACGAATAATGCTTCTAAATTTGTCTGAATAGGACGACAGTTTTATGAAAATTTATTACCGTTTTTCGCGTATATTGGCGAGATATTCATCATAGTTTCCTTGTTTTCTTCCCATCCTAAATCCTTATCCTCTTCCTTCCGAAGAGAAGTATATATATATATATATATATATATATATATATATATGTGTGTGTGTGTGTGTGTGTGTGTGTGTGTGTGTGTGTGTGTGTGTGTGTGTGTGTGTGTGTGTGTGTGTGTGTGTGTGTGTGTGTGTGTGTGAGAGCGTCGGGCTCACGCGCATAAACTGACGCAGGTCAAGTGAGGATAGCAGAGGCTCTCAGTGTCTTTCATTCATCATTTATCCCCTCCTCCTCCCCCTTGTGGGTTCGTATCCCCCACCCACACAACAACTACTACCTCACGTATACTCTCACAATATCACAGTTCACCTTACCCACAACTCACCCTATCCACCCCTCACTCTATACCAACACCTCACCCTACACATACACATACACCTCTCTCGTACCTTATCCCCACACAACATTCGTATTCACAAACACCTCTGGGCTGAAATATTCCGGGAGCATTCGCCTGTCCATGTTATCCTCGGACTGAAGACATCAACGTTCACAACTACACTCTCTGCCGTTCAAGTCTTTACTTATGAGGCAGAAGCACTTCCTCTTTGCCACTGGTAACTGCGTGACTCACTATAGATGTAAAGTGCCTTGTATAGTGACTGTTGTGAGCCTCTTGTTGAATCACTTGTGATATAAAAGATTATTGATATGTATATGTATATGTAGCAGTAACAATTGTGCAACTAGCTTCAAGTAATTATCACTTGCTTAGCTAAACGAACTATGGGGTTCCATGTTCAATTCAATTTCTTTCTTTATTATGCACCCCATACCCATCCCGTGGGCGGTGGTGTAAAGGATTACAGAGGCACATAATCGGTTCAGGAACTGAACTCTCTAGTTCGTTTAGCTGAGCAAATAACAATCTTTTGACGCTAATTACAAAATTATTAATATTATATATACATGTACACATACTCATACATACATGTACATATATATACGTGCACATACATATTTAATCACCCACACAAATACACACATCAATAATCTTTTGTGTCACAAGTGATTCAGCAAGAGGCTCACAACAGTCACTATACTAGGCACTTTACATCTATGGTGAGTCACACAGTTACTAGTCTTGCTGCACACCCAACCAACTGGGCGGCAGCTTTACAGTCATGTGCATGCATTGCCTATAGTAAGCAAATTTTGGATACTTCGTTAAGATTTCGGGCAGCACATCATTATGAATGAAGTACTTACACATTTCTTGGACGCTATTGATGGTGTTATCTTGAGATGATTTCGGGGCTTTTTAGTGTCCCCGCGGGCCGGTCTTCGACCAGGCGTCCACCCCCAGGAAGCAGCCCGTGACAGCTGACTAACACCCAGGTACCTATTTTACTGCTAAAAAACAGGGGCATAGTGTGAAAGAAACTCTGCCCATTGTTTCTCGCCGGCGCTTGGGATGGAACCCAGGACCACAGGATCACATGTCCAGCGTGCTGTCCGCTCGGTCCACTGGCTCCTCTCTAAATGTTAACTCTAAATTCCGCGATTTTTTCACATTCCATTATATAATGACGGAAAGTATGCGAATAGTTCTGCTGACAGAGTTTACATTTAGTCAAATCTACATCAGCAGATGTTACAAACTCCCAGAGGTACTTGTAGCCGAGCCTAAGCCTAGCAGTGGTAACATCAAGAAGTCTGTTCCTGAACCGATTATGTGCCTCTCAAACCCCTTTCCACCCCCTTCCACTGGATGAGTATGGGGTGTAAAGAAAGAAATTGAATCTCTTCCTCCTAATTTGATTTTCCTCCTATTATTTCTTCTCTTCGACTTATTCACTTCATTTTGTACTGTGTCTATATTCGGTCGCTCTTCTCCTCTCCCTCTTCTGCTTTCTTTTCTATCCCATGATATCTCCCCTCCCACTCTTTATCTTCTATATTGCACGTTTTTTTCTTTCTTCTTTCTCCTGCTTCCTCTACTACATTCTTCCTCCTTCCTTCCTCCCGAGGCGGCCTGAAACTTTTCAAGCGGGACCGGAAGCTGAGGGTAATTAAGAGTTGTGTAATTAGTGCTGGGAAAGTCACCTGCCCTTGTTGATAAGACGCCCTTCCTGGCGCCAGGCTAATTGCTCTCTTGTAGACGTCTTCCGGCTGATGTTCTTGAAAAACACTTCCAGTGTGCTGTTAGAGAGAGAGAGAGAGAGAGAGAGAGAGAGAGAGAGAGAGAGAGAGAGAGAGAGAGAGAGAGAGAGAGAGAGAGAGAGAGAGAGAGAGAGAGAGAGAGACACAATGATCAAGATACTACACCATATACAGCAGGGACACTGGGCTGCAGAGAGCACCGTTCTCTCCTAATAAGAAAATTAAATTTCTTCCATATGCTTTACTTCATCTAAAGCCGTATACAAGAATGAACTGCAAGAGATACTTGAAGCAAAATTATTCGAGCTGTGACAACGTCTGTTAGTCGGCTCATTTTGTTACTCGGTATCAGCGGTCTGGAACTCTTGGTTCTACCTTGACGTTGAACAGACGTATCGATCACTCTTTTTCCGTCGGAGGGTCTCCGGAAAACATTCCTCTTCGGCTGCCCGGATTGATACAACCCCTGGTGCACATATCGCTGGGATCACGGGGGAAGTGATAGCTTTGTTTTCGTATCCTGGTAAGATCTTAGGGGAGAGAGAGAGAGAGAGTGGGTCCGGAGCTGGCTTGGCCACGAGGTGCCTGCTGACTCGGCGGGTCTGGGTGGTTTTCTTATATGTCTTCAAGACGTGGTGGACGTCTGGGGGTTTTTCTCTGCCGAAGATCTGCGGATGACGGTGATGAGTTTTTGTTCGACTGGAGTTAAGGAGAGGCATCGCGATTCTACTTTTAGGCTACAACTTTTATTCGACTACTGATGAGTTCACACGATGCCTGGCGCCTATGTCGTCCGAGTTCGCTAGGTGTGGATAGTCTTCCAGAGGGTCCTCGGTGTAATAGGGTGGAGCTCAGTGCTCATCTTCCCACACGCAGTCAGTGATCGCCACATACCTGCCGCAAGGCAACAATTGTTTCCCGCCTACATATAGGCTCGAGGCTTCCAGTTTTCCCCGACACGGGAACGTCGGGACACATGTGACATCCGTGTTCTCTAGTTCCTAACTCAGCAACGATCAGCGGCCTGAGGATCGTCTGAGTAACTGATTTCAGGACATAAAATGTGGATT